TATCTTGACTACCTTTATGTTGCCAGAGTCATCATCACTGAAGCATGGGCTTTTTCTTTCAAAGCTATTTACTGTCTCACTAAGTAAGAACTTTTCCAGTTTTGCTTGTATCTTATAAGTCAGACAAGGAGCTGGTGTGTGAGCCAGTTGCTCAATCTCCTCTGAAATTAAATGATAGTTTAATGGTAGTAGTGCTTGTCCTTCAGTGACGAATTTGTGTAGAACTTCGTTATTGGTCTATCTGAAAGTCATATATATGGATCATTTAAAAACTCCATAGGTATTTTAAACTATAATCCACAAATGTAGCATCTAAAGCAGTAAGATAATTTAATTGTATTGGATGCTGTAGAATCAATACCCAAGTATAAGAATATGCAACTTCGAAATATTTTAAAAAATTTTTAAACGTTTTTTTTCATTTTACATACCAACCACACTTCCCCCTCCCTCCTATCCTCCTTTTCCCCTGCCCCCCAACCGAAGTCCCCATCCATTCCTCAGAAAACATAAGGAGAGTCATCAAAGTCTGACTTATCAAGTTGAGGCAGGACAAAGCCCCTACCCCCTGTATCTAGGCTAAGCAAGGTCCTTAGGGAACGGACCCCAAAAAAGACAGTTAATGCGTTGGGGATAAATCCTGGTTCCACTGCCAGGGGCCCCACAGACTGCCCCAGCCACACACTGTCACCCACATTCCTATGCAGGTTCCCCAGCTATCAGTCCAGAGTCAGTGAGCTTCCACTAGCTCTGGTTAGCTGTCCCTGTGGGTTCCCCATCCTGATCCTGATTCTCTCTTAGACTGGACTCCGGGAGCTGAGATCAAAGTTTAGTTCTGGATTTCTGCATCTGCTTCCATAAGTTACTGGATGAAGGTCTTGTAATGACAATTAGAGTGGTCATCAATCAGAATACAAGGGAAGGCCAGTTCAGGCCCGCTCTCCACTATTGCTAGGAGTCTTAGCTGGGTTCATCCTTGTGGATTCCTGCAAGTTTCCTAGCACTAGATTTCTCCCTAATGCCATAATGGCTCCTTCTATCAGATAACTCTTTCCTTTCTCTCCCTGTTTGTCCCTCCCCCAACTCACCCATCCCATTCCATTATTACTACAAAATCCAATAATCATAATTTTCATTATCGTTGTTTTGAGCCAAATGGGAATTTGAACCCTTTAAAAAAAAAGAATGGAATTACATGCAAGTGTGGAAATGCCATAACGAAATCTATTATTTTATAAAATTAACACTCATAAAAATGCTAGAATTTGGGAGAGATGATGTAAGCCTTAGTCCTCTATGTATGTAATTTGGAAGACTGAGTTGCCCTCCAGTCATATCAGGAAGTCTTACAACTGAATGATGAAGAAAACAGGACATCCTTTACCAAGAAAAATGGGGATAAAGGGCACCAGAAAAGAGCTAAACTCTCAATATCTAGAACTTTCCAAGTCCTATAGATACTGCTTTGTGGGTGAAGAAGAAGAAAAGAATAATATAAAATAAATTGCATCCATTTGCAGTATTGTGTTATTGATTCTTTTGCGTCAGGTGTAGTACTTTAAGACACAGTTTAGAGCTTCTTCCTTCTCTGTCTTCTCTTCTCTCCTCCTCTCTCCTCTTTTCACCTCCTCTCCTTTCCAGCTCAGCTCTACCTTCTCTCAGAAAAACTTGCTAAAACCTGCAGCCTTGAATAGAATTTTTAAAATAATTATCAAAAGCTGTCTGTGTCTCTCCAAACCCCATCTTCATCACTGGTGCCTTCCATATACTTCACCTGTCCCCAGAAATAGTTCCTACCTACTGTATCCCATGCCTTCTTCATATCTAAGTATTCTTGAACCTGTTCCTACATCCATGTTACTCCTCTATCAACATATATCTTACAGGGTGATTACAATGGCATTTCAAACATCAAAGAATGGTTTCTTTGTCAAATTCCATCCCCTTAGAATTTCCTGGACACTGTTTTTCTTATTGCTTTAGTATATTTTCATTAGATCAGTTATAACTCTATACTTCTTTTTTAAGTTATGATTAAATTTGTTTAAATAAAATAAAAGTCAGTTTAGCTCAAGGTCTCAGAAGTTTGGTTCCATGGTTACTTAGCTTTGTTGTCTCTGAATTTGTGGTAAGGCAGAGCACTATGATAATAAGCACGTCCAAAGACTTGTGCTTACTCATCTTTTGTGGGAACCAGGAGGCAGAAAGAGAAAGCGGGAGATGGAGGAAGAGACCAGTGACAGAATGTGTCCTTCAAGGGCATATCCCCCAGTGACTTACATTTTTGATCCACCGGTGCCTGACCTTCATAGTTAGTTCTCTGTTGCTCCCAACATCCCGTTGAGATTGGTTCCATAATGCATTGATCCTATCATGAGTTTAGAGTCATTTTAATTCAACCAATAACAACCCAAAGGCTCTAACTATGACTCTGTGCACTAAAGAACAAACCTTCAACTCTAGAGTCCTGACGGTAACAATGAAGACACAAACCAGCCACTATCTGGGATTGCTACACATATTTACTTGTTAATTCCTTTCCTACATACACTAACATCCATATGCACCAGATTAAGGAAACTTCCCAGAGCTAGGCATTTTGTTTATCACTTGTGTCTTCATAATTATTCATAAAACTGGTCCATAAAATGTTATAAGTAGAGTCTTTATCAATAACGTATGAGAATATTAAAAGAATAAATGCTCATTACTGGGGATCAGACTTAGATGTTTGCGTACCTGTCTATATTCATTAACTTACTTGCCTTATGACTCTTACTGATTACATCCTGTAATGCGATATTGTTCAAATTCTTCCTAAACAGGATATTTTTATTACTTGGAGGGAACCAAAGATGCTCTCCTTTGTGGCTTCAGCACAGATTCTGGGTATGTAATATTTGCTTTGCTTTTAGTTGAAATGCTGCCAAGGAAAAATCTCACGCTCAATGAGTACTTTTGATTCGATATTACAATTTTCATAAATTTCATGGCATTGATTTTGCTCATTTTATCTAACAATAAACAGAGATTTTAAAATGTTTATAGTTTATGCATGCATTGGAAAGCAAGACCAATCATGAGATCAGGCTTGAATCAAAACAAAATAGCCATCATGAGAATCTAGGGATATACAAGAATACTTTCTAAAAGCCTATCAAAAATCGGTTGGCTAGTATAAGGCCTTACTTCTTGGAAAGAAGAATAACAAAATCAATATCTCTTTCCATCTCAAAGCTCTCCACTGCCTAATTCAATATGACTCATAGGTAACTGCTCTGACCAATTTACACAAGATCTTGTGAACTAGTTGTTTTCAGAATCTTCTGTTTATAATTTTTGATTTCTCCATACACCACCTTCAGTTTGCAGCAGAGCTTTGTTCTTGTCCTGCTTGCCAGCAAGGGGTCTCTTCATCGGGTTCTGGAAACTCTATGAACCTCAGAATCAACAGTGCTGCCCCTCCCACAAATGCTTCAGACACCATGTTCATCTAAGGAGGCTAAAAACCAATCTGCCAGTTTTAGAAAGTAAAAAATTTTAAAGCCAAAATTTTTATGAACATTTTCAAATGTTGTATATGACTATCCCTGGCTTTAATTCACCACAAGAGTAACGTTCAAAGAAGCCATTTTGCCAGAGGCCTTCATAGCAAACTCTATTGATCTGAATTTATGAATATGTTGCTAATGAAATCTTCCATTTACTAAATGGTTCTATGGTCAAGGAGTGGGTTAATCATGTCATTGAAATTCAAAGTCAATCTTAAATTCTTGAGGAAAGTTATTTCGCTATTCCCACTTGGAAGAAAGTGTATCTTTGAGAATTTAAGTAATCTGGCAAAATGATCAACTAGTAAATAGTGAAATGAGAAGCAATGGCCATTCTTTCTGACCCCAGGTTACAGTCTCTTAGTTGTTTTGCAATGTTCAACCTCTACATTGAACCTTGAGGTTAACACTCTGCTATAGTGTTCCTTACCTACACGCCAAACATATCGTGACCTGTAATTCCCATTTGTATCTGTAGCCAGTGTCCAGAAGGGTACTACTGTGTGAAGGCTGGCAGAAATCCTGATTATGGCTACACGAGCTTTGATACTTTCAGCTGGGCCTTCTTGGCCTTGTTTCGGCTAATGACTCAGGATTACTGGGAGAACCTTTACCAGCAGGTGGGTGCCAACAGAATCAGACATCTCTAAAGGCGATCAGTGCTCAGTGTGCTTTGATTCTGCCTTGGGAGCTGTTGTGGTTGCTGTTCCTTTCATTTCATTTCTGTGGACAATATGGGAATCCCGACATGCATTTCTAACATTAGAGATAATTTATCATGCTCATATTAGAACAGATAGTTCTTAGATCCTAAATTAATTTTCTTCTATGTTCTGAGAAATGTTAATTTTTAGGTCTTCCTTAGTATCCAACATATCCCTAGGGTCCGACACAAAGAGCAGAGTACATTGCAGTTTCTTGAGCTGTCTTTGCACACTCACCATTTCCTTCACATGCCTGGGCTGTCAGAATCCTGGAGAATTTCCTGTACTGTGCCCACCAGACTCTCCTGTTCTGTGCCCACCAGACCCTCCTGTCCTGTGCCCCCAGATTCTCCTATACTGTGCCCACTATACCTTAGTGTTGAACCTTTATTTACAATTAAATACTCAATTCTACTCCAAACCTTCCTCTCCCTTGTCAACTACTTCCTCTTCTGGGTTTCATGACCCTTAAATGTTCCTCAGCTTAAGCATCAATCTGCTCTAGTGTTCATTCCCATGGCCATGCACTTTAGCATGAATGTGAGGCACTCGCCACATGGGCTTCTCTATGTGTATATTAAATATCTCAGCACCCAAACCAAGAGGAAAGTAGTTGAAATGATAATTCTCTTATTTCATGTAACAATGAATTTCTTTTCTCAGAATTGTTAAAAGTACTTCTTTTGGCCTCTTTTATATTTACTTCTGTGACTATTATAAATGTTATAAAAACTATATAAAATACCTTTTGTAGGAAAATAAAATTAATAGAAATAATTCAGAGGTAGAAACCGAATCTTAGAATGCTGTACTGCTGGGCTCAGGTCCTCCTTTGTCATCCTCCAGAGTCTCCAGGGCCACTGTCATGGGACCAACATCACAGTCCACACCTTTATAATAGAAAAGAAGACTATCTTAGCTCAAAGTTAAGGTCATGCAAAATAAAAGCATTGACATACAAATTTGCAAAGGGACGACGAAAGATGGCCGTATTTAAGTTGAGATACGGAAGCTAGACTTTCTCACACATTGGTAGTAACCTTTGTAGAAAGTTAATGAAAATAAAAAGTTTCCAATGACCTAAATGTTCCACTTTTATGAATTTATTCAAGATAAAAACAATAACAACAACAGAATGATAGAGTGGGGAATTGAATAAATATTAAGGATTCCAGAAGTATATAGGTTTCACTTATATCTCTATACTATTCTGAATTTTTCTAAAAATGAAGCAAATGGCAGAATATACTGCATTTAAAAATAAATAATTTTAATTATTAATCATTAATAATGGTTTTACTAGATAAAAATAAATATCCATGGAGTCAACAAATAAATTTAATCATTAAAGCAATCTGTCTGCATCAAAATTTAAAATGATAATAATTTAAAAAGGAAAGAATAGGACTTGAACAATAAAGGGGGCTGTTTGAAAAATTAAAAGACAGTATGAGAGCTAAAGTTACCAGTAATTTCAAAAATGTGAAAAATGAGAAAGTTATGCTATATTTAATACTAATTATCAAACCTTAGTACTAGCCTGTTACATTGCTATACCTTTTATACTGATTAAGACAAGTTTGTTTAATACTGATTGTCTTCAAATATATTGCTTTCATTTATATTTATATAACATGAGATTATACAAAATATTTGATTTGCATGTTCTTTATCTATCAACCACAATAAAAGATTTAGTAAAATTTTTGCATTGTTAAAATAACAATTTCCTTTTCTACTCCCAGACTCTACGTGCTGCTGGCAAAACCTACATGATTTTCTTTGTTGTGGTGATCTTCCTGGGCTCCTTTTATCTGATAAACTTGATCCTGGCTGTGGTAGCCATGGCCTATGAGGAACAGAACCAGGCCAACATCGAGGAAGCTAAACAGAAAGAATTAGAATTTCAGCAGATGTTAGACCGACTCAAGAAAGAGCAGGAAGAAGCCGAGGTAAGTGTTTGTCACTACAAATATGAAGGCAGAGGAGAAACAGAGGTCCTTTCCATGTAGATTCTCCTGATTTCAGTAGACTATACTTGATGTTGGTAGAAAGGCCAAATAACAATTCCTGTATTCTGTGTGAATCGCATCCTTTTGTTTCTAATGTGCTTGAAGGAATGAGCTCTAAACAGAGCTAGAACGGACACTTATTATAATAATCTCCCAGTTCCATAGCAGATGTTCTGAGACATCACTTGTAATTCTACCACCCAGAATGCATCAGCATGACAGCTTCTAAGAATATAAAAATTGTGTCCATTCTCAGCAATAACAGCTTTTCCTTTGCAATTTCATGCACAGATAGCACATTCTGATTATTGCCCACCCTAATTCTCTCTTACTTTCCTCTCACACAATCGCCCTGCAATCGCAACCTACAAGTTCCTTTCCTACAACTATATCTTTTTTTCCTAACCTACTGAGTTTAATCAGGGCAGTCACTGTCCATGGATTTGCTACTATTCCCTTGAGCCCCATGAGCTAATCAGTGGGTACGAGACTGAAAACAACGTCTGCCTCTCCTCCAGAACCAATAAAAGCAACACATACACATAAGGCTGAAGGCCTCCTCACTCGTGGTTTTTAAACTTAGTTGATAGGAGCAGGCAAGGATTCCATCTTGTGAAGTGACCCTCATAATAGTAAGAAACTGTAACATGAAGTTTAGTCAACAATTTAGATTAAAACAAATGCTCATTAACTTTTGCTAATGTTATAAACATTCAGATTAAGACAGTCACAATAATGATTGTGATCACTTCTAAGTAAAGCACAGTGCGTGCTAGCTTTCTCTGCAAAGGCTTTAGTATTTCAGCTGTACAACTGTTTAGTAAATGCTTTAAAACCTGCCACGTGATTTGGTATAGTTAACCTCTTGAATGGCTCCAAAACTAGCCAGGCCAATAATCTGTGATATGGAGAAATACTGATGTACAGGTTTATGTAGTGCCACATATATTTAACATTAAAATGGTAAAATTAAGAAATATAACACATTTTCAAACTGTCCAAAAATGTATAATAGGATTATATCTTTGTGTCTTGACATTGTACTCATATATAAAATTATACATTTTTTGAGAAAATTTTGTAATGAGGAAAATGTTGATAAAATAATAGTGGGTGTAATGATAGACAGGATACAATCACAATTTAACTGTTAGACTAATACATAAATGACCTGGAGAAGTATAACCACAACTCCTTTCTGAGGGTAAGACTGAAAGTATCTTTCTGCTTTTCCTTTACATCTTTACATCTAGTTTCCTTAAATGATTTTCCTTTAGTCTTGAAATATTCACATCCACTCAAACCTATAACCTCATTTTTCCATTCTCTAACTCTCCCAGTCTACCTCTCCCAATTTCAAGTCAATTTTTGACAACCCTCTAAGTCTGATTAGTACTTCCCATAAGTGCTTGATTATGGGGTCATCCCCTGGACTATGGGTAAACTACCAATGGCCATACATACAAAGAAAAAAATGATTCTCCCTGTCCCAGGTGCCCCAACTGCCAGTAGCACTTCCATAAGGGGCATGGCCCAGAGAGTACCTGCCTACCTTCCTCATTCTTCCTGAATTTTGGTTAGTTTGCTCTTGTACAGGTCTCACGCAGGTAGCCTCAGTTGCTTTGAGTTCTTGAGTGTGATAGCCACATTGTGCCCAGAAGTCAACATTTCAAAGCTCTAATCCCTATTCTCTGGCTCTTGCCTTATTGTTGCCTCCTTTTCTGTGGTTTTCCCTGAGCCTGGCTGGGTGTAAGGAGGGAGGCTGATAGATGCTCCACTTAGGGCTGAATACTCAGTTTCTTGTTCTTAGTACTTAGAACAATCATGCATTCTTGCATTAACTGTTTCCCCCTGCAAAAATAAACTTCTATTACCAAGGCTGAGGACAGTCTAAATATGTGGGTATTGACATAAATACTTAGAAGACAACTTAGCAACGTGTCATTTAGCAAAATAACTAGGGAGTCATAAACCCTAGGATAAAACCCAGATGGAATTCTAATTTTATGTTTAGAACATAATTTATTATTTATTTATTTATTTATTCATTAGTGAGGTGGGATAGCTATCTTCTCTCCCTTGTAATTCAATTTCGAGATTTCATCAATCCCTTAAGATAAGAATCATTGACCTTATAATTTTTCTTGACACTTTATTTTCTTATTAACTTATTTCTATTTTCAGACATGCCACTCTCACTAAGCTATGGGGTTCCTGATTCCATGGGTCACCCTGAGTTGCTTACCTGATCTTCAAATCCATTATCTTAGCACACAGTTTATGTGAGTTTTATATCGCAAAAGTACCTGTAAAACTTCGACACATAGTACTTCAATTTATTTAATTCTAAGGAAGCTTACAACATGAAAGAGTTGCATTACAAAGGTACTGAAATTTATTATAATATGTGAGAGGAGAGACTATGCTTCACATGCTCATTGGTTATAATGCAACACAACACGGATTACTTCCTGGACAAGATTTGTAACTGAATGCCCAGTCTGGGTACCCTGAGACTTGTTTTTTTTTCAAGATTTGGAAATTACTTAAATGCTGGGATTGTCTTGGTTCAACAGGCCATTGCTGCAGCTGCAGCTGAGTACACGAGTATTGGGCGGAGCAGGATGACGGGTCTGTCGGAGAGCTCTTCAGAAACCTCTCGGCTGAGCTCCAAGAGTGCCAAGGACAGACGAAACAGAAGAAAGAAAAAGAACCAGAAGAAGATCTCCAGTGGCGAGGAAAAGGGCGACGACGAGAAACTGTCCAAGTCGGGATCGGAGGAAAGTATCAGGAAGAAAAGCTTCCATCTTGGTGTGGAAGGACATCACCGCTCCCGGGAGAAGAGGCTGTCTACCCCGAACCAGGTACTACCGGCGCCACCAGGCGAGGCTGCACAGCCAAAAGCCATTGCAAGGTTTAATGCTGGGGTCAGGGTTCAAGAGAGGAAAGGGACTTCACCATCACATTTTACCTAAAATGCTGCCTTTAGCTGGGTGTTTATGGAAAGAAGAGGGATGTATATGGTTTCTCAATTAAGTTGCCATTTTCATTTTCATAAAAAGCTATTGTTTCAGAATTGCTATATCTTCCTTAAGAAGCATTTTTCTAAAATAAAATGTTTCTGCAAACTACTATAGGAATGAAGAATGGTGTTTACAACACAGATTAATTCTTATGGTTGTATTTTGTCAATATTTTTAATACCTCACTCCTGATAAGAACAAGAGGAGAGAAGGAGAAAAGTGGGAGAGGGAGGGAGGGAGATAAGAAAAGAGAGAGGGAGGGAAAGCCATAATATAATCCTAAAAGTAGTTCCTCTATCTTTTTCTGTCCTGTAGACAAGCATGAACCAAAGTAGCAGGCAGCCAGTTTTGAATTTTGTCCATTCTTTTAATATCTTCACTCCAAGCACAGAAGCTTCTGGTTGACAAATAAATGAATTTCTTTCTTGTGGATTTTCCCTCTCACTATCCTGTTTTTCACACTGAAACCTCTACACTCTGGTTGGTCCCCCTGCAAGCCCATCAGATGAGCCGTGGGTCCAGAGCTACCAAACATTTACACACTCTACAACCCCATCTCAATTGTTGTCAAGACAAAAATATACTTATGGGTTTGATACTCCATTGAATAAACACTGAAGATCAAGAATCACATCTTATGCCGATCACAGATAGCTTTGACTTCACCTTCTCAGCTTCCTTTACTTTCCTGGATTGCTCATTTCCCATAACAGAGATGCTCACTGTTACCTAAAGATTTTTACACCTTCCCTTCCTCTATTACTTCGTACACATTGTCCCCCTTTTATTTATTTCTTTTTCTTTTCAAACTCTCTGTATAGCCAAGAACGACCTTAAACTTCTGACCTTATCCCTTCTACTTCTCCAGTGCTGGCATAGTAGGTATTGGTTACCACGGTTAATGCAGTGCTGGGATTTGAACTGAAGGCCTTATACAAACTAAGCGAGCATACTACCAACTTAGCTATGTCCCCAGCCCAGTCTGCTTCTTACTGATAACTTTCTTCATTAATTTCTTCTGACACAGTGGCACCTCACCTTCCACTATTTAGCTCAAGTACCCCACCCTCATAATCCTATACATCTTCCTCTGTCCTCTGCATCCCCTAATCTGGGGTTCCAGACATGGCCCGAGTTATCTGCCATTGTCATCTTCGCCATAGTTGGAAGTTTCCAGCTTCTGTTACTTAGGTGTGAAGCACAGACAGAAAAGACAGTCAGTCCTTGTCTGCAACAAGGTGCAGGCTAGGATAGGCAGCTAGAATCCTCATGGTACTAATGCAAGGAAAGACAAGAGGGAGTTTCTGCTTGTTCTGAGGCAAAACCCTTCCTTGTCTTACTCATTCTCCACTGTTCCCAGTGCCTGCCACTTGTCTTTAAAATAGCCAGCACTAACGTTTATTGAATTTAGTACTTCTAAATAATCTATCCTGTTTTCATTTATGAAATCAGTTTACAATGCAGAGGAGTCATATGAAGGGGACAGCTTTCCACTGTTCCCTTGGGAGCCACTCCCCCAACCGCCCCTCGCCGAACCCCGACATCACAATAGTCCCTGTCTCTTAATTTCCTTGACTACTATGTACTCTAAAGCATACCCAACTAGACTCCAGTCTATAAAATGATAGGTTCTCACACCTTATAGTGGATGAGTTTTAGTGCTAGAACTGGGGCAAGTCCTTTGCCAGGGTCTGGGAATAGATTCTTCTGATTGTTGCAGCCTTTTCTTTATCTTTTTCTTTCTTTTTTTTTCTCTAGAATTGATCTTTTTGTTGAATTGCTTTTCTTTTAAATACGATTCTTTTAAACATGCACAGCGTCGCTGGTCTCAGGCTAACGATTTGGTGGT